CCTGGTTCAGTCCTGGTTCAGTTCTAGTTTAGTCCTAGTTCAGTCCTGGTTTAGTCCTGGTTTAGTCCTGGTTTAGTCCTGGTTTAGTCCTGGTTTAGTCCTGGTTTAGTCCTGTTTAGTCCTGGTTTAGTCCTGGTTCAGTCCTGGTTTAGTCCTGGTTCAGTCCTGGTTTAGTCCTGGTTTAGTCCTGGTTTAGTCCTTGGCGTTTAAAAACACAGTGTAAAAAACACAACTCCAGGTCTGTTTTTTTAGATCAAAAAACATCGTAATATTGCCCCTTTAAATCTCGTTATGTTTAATAAATTCGCGTCAAATCGTGTCACTTTTCAAACACACTTGAACTTGAACTTCTTCTCAATTTCTCGGTCACGTTTTGATTTGAACTCTTGTTATTTTTGCTTCTCGAGTCTCACACAGAGGCCGAGCAGCGGGGGGGGGCGCACAGTGTCCCTTTAAAACCTGTCACATCCCCGAAAACACCAACCCGGCCGTTTAATCCGACGTGTCACCCATTCTCCGCCGGCGCCCGTGGGTCCCTGCCGGTCCGTCTCCGCGCTCTGGAAACCTGCCCGGGCTCCCGTGGGGTTTCTCCTCGGACCCGGTCTCTGTTCACGAGCGAAACTGACAGATCGTAGCCCGGTGATATTCCCCAAACAAAAGCCGAGCGCCGGATCAGAGCTCAGACCTCCTCCGTCGGGCTCAGTGCGGCTGTAATGGGTTTAACAGGAGTGCGAACGTTTGGCTCTCGAACGCTCCGTTTAATCTCCCTGATCTTTTACCTCGTTTTAGCTGCTCGGAAAGGAAGTTCTGGGTGCAAATAACAACAAACCACAGCTGTTTCTGTCTCAATTGTTTAAAGATGCACAGTGAAACTTTTCTGGAGGGGATTTTGTTTTACAGGCAGGTAGTAATTACACAGGACTAAACCAGGTCAAACTAAACCAGGTCTAAACCAGGTCTAAACCAGGTAAACTAAACCAGGTCTAAACCAGGACTAAACCAGGTCTAAACTAAACCAGGTCTAAACCAGGTCTAAACCAGGTCTAAACCAGGTCTAAACCAGGTCTAAACCAGGTCTAAACCAGGTCTAAACCAGGTCTAAACCAGGTAAACTAAACCAGGTCTAAACCAGGGAAACTAAACCAGGTCTAAACCGGGTCTAAACTAAACCAGGTCTAAACCGGGTCTAAACTAAACCAGGTCTAAACCGGGTCTAAACTAAACCAGGTCTAAACTGGGTCTAAACTAAACCAGGTCTAAACCGGGTCTAAACTAAACCAGGTCTAAAAACCAGGACTAAACTAGGTCTAAACCAGGACTAAACCAGGTCTAAACCAGGTCTAAAAAAACCAGGTCTAAACAAGGACTAAACCAGGTCTAAACCAGGACTAAACCAGGTCTAAACTAGGTCTAAACCAGGTCTAAACCAGGTCTAAACCAGGTCTAAACCAGGTCTAAACCAAGGACTAAACCAGGACTAAACCAGGACTAAAACCAGGTCTAAACTAAAGGTCTAAACCAGTCTAAACCAGGTCTAAACCAGGTCTAAACCAGGTCTAAACCACCAGGTCTAAACCAGGTCTAAACTAGGTCTAAACCAGGACTAAACCAGGTCTAAAACCAGGTAAACCAGGTCTAAACCAGGTCTAGGACTAAACCAGGAAACCAGGACTAAACCAGGTCTAAACTGGTCTAAACCAGGTCTAAACCAGGTCTAAAACCAGAACTAAACCAGTAAACTAGGTCTAAACTAGGTCTAAACCAGACTAAAACCAGGACTAAACCAGGTCTAAACCAGGACTAAACCAGGTCTAAACCAGGTCTAAACCAGGAATAAACCAGGTCTAAACCAGAACTAAACCAGGTCTAAACCAGGACTAAACCAGGTCTAAACCAGGACTAAACCAGGTCTAAACCAGGACTAAACCTAACTGGGTCTAAACCAGAACTAAACCAGGTCTAACAGGACTAAACCAGAACTAAACAAGGTGTAAACCAGGACTAATCTTGGCTTTAAGAGAGAGAGAACCCCGAGCCCTGGAGCGTGGAGTCTGTAAAGCGCGATCGGGCGACGGCTGATCTTATGGAGAGAGTGGAGCTCTGCACAATAAACATGCATGCATCCATGGAGATAGATAAGTTTAATGCCGTACTGTGAAACATTCCAGGCTGTACGGGTAAGTACATGTGCATAGAGAATAGCATATAATGTAGAAATGTTCCGCAGTGCACCTTTAAACCCTCCACCAGAAAGGCCTTTATAGTTCACTTTTAAAAACAAAGAAAGGAAGATTTGTTTGTTTAACGCCATAATGTAGAACATTTTAAACAAAAGAATACGGAGAAAAGCAGTTTGACAGACCTTCAGCTGAAAAGTTACACAGTGCAGCTTTAACTGACTTGGCTCTGACGGGTTGTAGCTACTTTCACTTTGTGTCCGAACGTGGCCAGACTGTTAAACATTTATTGCGTGCGAGAGGAAAACAAAAGCTTTCTTAGACAAACAAACGTCAGCTCTGTCAGAAGTCAAAGCTCTCAGTCAGGAGACAAAACACAACAGACACAACCCCGGGGTCTGACACAACTGGTCCTCTCCTCTGCCCCGTGCCCCTCCTGTGGTCCTCTGCCCCCCACCGTCATGTTATCTGCCCCCCACAGTCCAGAGCAGGGGTCAGGGGCAGGAGCAGAGGGGCGGGGGGGGGGGGGGGTGAGGGAGAGAGTGGAGGAGCAGCTGTTCACTCCAGATGTGACAAGTGGAGGATTTCACAAGGGACAGTCCAGATTACTCAGAGTATACAGAAACGTTAAAAATAAAATAAATAAATAAAATGAGAGATAGATTTATAAAAACATTGATATAAATGTGCCAAAATAACTGTAAAATAGAGAAAAATGTCAAAAATTACAGAGATGGTCTCGATTTGGTCTCGATGAGCCGAGGTGTTGATCTTGTCTCTGCCTGGACCTTCAACAGTCTTGGTCTTGTCCTGGTTTCTGGACCCCGTGGTCTCGGACAGGTCTTGGTCTCGATTAGTGCGCTCGGACTACAACACTCACTCAAAGTTTTCCATTTAAAGCACAGGTGTCAAACATAAGGCCCGGGGGCCAGATCCGGCCCTCCAAGACCTTTAATGTGGCCCTTGGGTGATTTTCTACTAAAATATTTTAAATGTTGAAATTGAATTTTTCTTAAAGTTTCAGGTTGTTCATAATATTATAATATTATAATAAGAAAGAGTTCATCAATTAAAAAAGATTTCTGTAATAGATTTGCGTTTCTCTGAACAAATATTTGAATTTATTGTTATTTTTGGAGTTTATATGACATGAGTTTTCTGATCCGGCCCCTTTGGGATCAAAGTAGGTTGGATACGGCCCCCGGACCAAAATGAGTTTGACACCCCTGATTTAAAGTAAAAACTTTTGCAGATTAATTTATTTAAGAAGCCATTTTATTGACTGAGAACCAGCACCATAAGGAAGCATCTGCCAGTAACAAACAGTTTCGTCCAATCAGAGACGTCGTTGGATGAGAACAATTTGGAAACAATCCCAGGCATTTGTTTCTGTCGTGACTCAACATCAGAGAAATAGTTGATGCAATTTCTAGTAAACAAAACTTAGCCTGACTTCCTTTATTTTTCCAGAAACACTGACAAGATCCAACTTTTTTGTAAATAAATCTTGTCACAATAGAAAAACATGCCACTTTCTGTGTACAGCCCTAAGTATTAAAACAGTTCCTTTTTTTGTAGACCTCCACAGAGTGAATAATGGGCTTTTGTTCCTGCTGTTCACATGTGGGACACGTTAGACTCATGATGGTTTTAACAGAACCTCATCAGAGAAGCCATGATAAAGTGTTACCCGTTCCTAGGCGATACGCTGGTTTAGTGCCATTTTAAATGTTTAATATAGGGATGAGTGATATATCGGTTCCAGTATTAGTCAATATTGATACCAATTTGGCAATATCGGTAGATATTGATACTCAATACGATATTTGATATTTTTGGGTGCTTCTTTATTTTGTGTGCCGTTTTTAAACAGACTCACGAGTAAAAAATAGAAATAGAACAGTGTTATACAGCTGTACGTTTACACAAACTAATAACGTCATCACATTTCCATGGAGACAAACAGATGAAGGAGCATGCACCAGAAAAGCAGCGTAGTGTGCCTCTTATATGATTCAGTGCCTTTCTGTTTAATGACAATCCAACAGGAAGAACATGCAAAGAGCCTGGAGTTCTCCTTAAGTTCTCCTTGTTTAACCCATTGACGCCGGATGCTGCGCAGCGCAGCGCTGAGTCTCCTGTCCGGATAGTCTGGCGATCAGCGTAACTGGTAAAGGCGGGGCCACAACTGGAAGCATGAGGGGCGTGTCCTCCTCTCGCTTCCATTCACTCCCATAGAGAGACACAAAACTGCCGGAGCTGTATTGTCGCGTTAAACCTTCTTTATCGTGGCGTATTATTTCTCTATTGAAAAATAATCCAAATGTATCCCGCACATGTTCCCATCAAGACCTGGTTTGAAGTAACAAACGTTGCTCTTTACTGCAGCGCATGAACGCGCTCAAACCACTTGATCTGTTCGCTGTTCCAGACGCTCCTACAACAGGTGCCATATCGCTGTCGTGTAGCAAATAAACATGGTCAAACACAAAAATGCTGACAGTGACAATGACAGTGAAGACACGGACAACATTTGTGTTTGACCATGTTTATTTGTTACACATAGTGATATGGCAGCTCCGGCAGTTTTGTGTCTCTCGATGGGAGTGAATGGAAGCGAGAGGAGGACACGCCCCCCATGCTTCCAGGTGTGGCCCCGCCTTTACCAGTTACGCTGATTGCCAGACAATCTGGACAGGGGACTCAGCGCTGCGCTGCGCAGCATCCGGCGTCAATGGGTTAAATAAGAAAGCCACATTTTCCTAGGAGTCGAACCCAGGATCTTTTGGCTGTGAGGCTGAAGTGCTAACCACTGCGCCGCTGTTATTTCAGTATGTGGACAGTGTGTGGACCATGTATGGACATCAACTGAACATGTTACAGAAACTCACCAGGTTTGAGAGTCTGAGTGTAGCCAAGACCCACCAGACTGGAGTTGTTCACCTTCGCCTGAAAAGAAGAACACGAGTGTCAACAAAACAAACTGCACATGTCTCATTTTATATAAAAACACACAGAAAAAGTCCTTCCTTGTGCATAAATTGTATCTGCATTATGAATGGAGTTTTCTTCCTGTATTTTTGTACTTTTGTCAACTTTTTTCCCCCACAGACTGACATTTAACTGATTAATATTTAGCACAGGTACAATCCATCAAACCAAGTCAGAATGAGGAAAAACATTTGAAGGCGCACTCACAGAGAAGGAGGCGTCTTGGTCGATCTGGTATTTGGCTGCGATCCCGAAGCGTGTGTTGCTGTTGCCCGCGGTCCAGGCCAGGTTCACGGCCGTCTCCAGCTTATCGTTCACCTTCTGATAAATGGATCCGCCGAACTCTGTGCCGTCGTTTCTGTAACGCACAAGAAAAACAACCATTACAGCTCCATGCTCAAGTACTGAGCTCAAGGAGAAGTGTCCAGTGGTGACGTCACTTTCCCGTCCAAAAGCAACATTTTGTTCCTTATCCATCAAACAAGAGACGGTTAGCATTGTGTAGTGTATGTTTAATCACAAACTGTATCAAATGTCAATAATGTAGTAATATGCCAAGATAAAATAGGATGACCAGTGTGTATATCTCACTCGTACTGCGTTCCCTTTCTTGTGATTCTAATGTTATTTGAGAGGGACTTAAGTCTAACTGGAGTAACAGAGCATCCCATTGATTAGGCATGGCACTAATTATTCATCTGCTAATCGTTCAATACATGACAGAAGGAGCTATATTTTTGCAGGGTTAATATTTGTCATGGGGTACTTTGTCTTTGTAGGAGTGAGGAATATTCGATTTTTCTGTGACACAATAAGATCTGAGCTGTGGACGAATGAACAAATCGCTTCTATGACTGATTAACTCTTTCATGTATTGATTGCAGCGCTTGTTCATTCACTATACTGCATGTGTAGAGTAGTTTAATTCACAGTACTGCATGTGTAGAGTAGTTTGATTCACAGTACTGCATGTGTAGAGTAGTTTGATTCACAGTACTGCATGTGTAGAGCAGTTTGATTCACAGTACTGCATGTGTAGAGTAGTTTGATTCACAGTACTGCATGTGTAGAGTAGTTTGATTCACAGTACTGCATGTGTAGAGTAGTTTGATTCACAGTACTGCATGTGTAGAGTAGTTTGATTCACAGTACTGCATGTGTAGAGTAGTTTGATTCACAGTATGCATGCATGTAGAGTAGTTTGATTCACAGCACTGCATGTGTAGAGCAGTTTGATTCACAGTACTGCATGTGTAGAGTAGTTTGATTCACAGTACTGCATGTGTAGAGTAGTTTTGATTCACAGTACTGCATGTGTAGTTTTGATTCACAGTACTGCATGTGTAGTTTGATTCACAGTACTGCATGTGTAGAGTAGTTTGATTCACAGCACTGCATGTGTAGAGTAGTTTGATTCACAGCACTGCATGTGTAGAGTAGTTTAATTCACAGTACTGCATGTGTAGAGTAGTTTAATTCACAGTACTGCATGTGTAGAGTAGTTTGATTCACAGTACTGCATGTGTAGAGCAGTTTGATTCACAGTACTGCATGTGTAGAGCAGTTTGATTCACAGTACTGCATGTGTAGAGCAGTTTGATTCACAGTACTGCATGTGTAGAGCAGTTTGATTCACAGTACTGCATGTGTAGAGTAGTTTAATTCACAGTACTGCATGTGTAGAGTAGTTTGATTCACAGTACTGCATGTGTAGAGCAGTTTGATTCACAGTACTGCATGTGTACAGTAGTTTGATTCACAGTACTGCATGTGTAGAGCAGTTTGATTCACAGTACTGCATGTGTAGAGTAGTTTGATTCACAGTACTGCATGTGTAGTTTGATTCACAGTACTGCATGTGTAGAGTAGTTTTGATTCACAGTACTGCATGTGTAGTTTGATTCACAGTACTGCATGTGTAGAGCAGTTTGATTCACAGTACTGCATGTGTAGAGTAGTTTGATTCACAGTACTGCATGTGTAGAGTAGTTTTGATTCACAGTACTGCATGTGTAGTTTGATTCACAGTACTGCATGTGTAGAGTAGTTTGATTCACAGTACTGCATGTGTAGAGTAGTTTAATTCACATACTGCATGTGTAGAGTAGTTTGATTCACTATACTGCATGTGTAGAGTAGTTTTGAGGACCTAATCCTGCTGTTGGGTTTTTGTGTCAGTAGCATAATGATGACATTCAGTATCATTGTTTATAGTCTAGATTTTCTGCAGGAGTATAATCATACTTCAGAATGTTCAGTAAGGATAACTTTAGAGTGCGATACACTACATTTTACATTTAAAAAAAAAAAATCTTACATTGTCAATTTTCACTGAAGGCATCATGACGATGAATGAACACATAAAATGAACACAAAAAGTGTGAAATCATAGATCATTATAAAGTTAGTTCCAGTTCTGAGAAAAGTGTGGATTCACTCTTCCTGCTCCAGTCGTCCTCTGAGAATTCAGCCAAGTGGCACTAAAATACATCTATTTATTTGGAGATGGATCATCACAATGGAAGTACTTCACCAGAGGAACCTTGTGTGTTTAGCATGAGACAGTCTAATAATGGCTAAACATGGCTGAAGTTCACAGGACACAGTTTTGCACTGTATATGACCTTTAACAGCCATAAAGCATATCTAAAAATGTTCCACTACCAAATAGACATACATCCGTGACAGAAATGGAAGAGTGAGTGAGTTGACCCTTACACATTGGTGTGCAGTTGAAACTCGTCAGTCTTGNTGTTTAGTCCTGGTTCAGTCCTAGTTTAGTCCTTCTGGTTCAGTCCTGAGATCAGTCCTGTTTTAGTCCTGATTCTGTCCTGGTTCAGTCCTGGTTCAGTTCTGGTAAGTTCTACTTTTTCAGTTCTCGGATCAGTCCTAGTTTAATCCTTCTGGTTTAGTCCTGAGCTCAGTCCTGGTTTAGTCCTGGTTCAATCCTAGTTTAGTCCTGGTTCAGTCTTAGTTCAGTCCTGGTTCAATCCTGGTTTAGTCCTGGTTCAAGTCCTAGTTTAGTCCTGGTTCAGTCCTCAGTCCTGGTTTAGTCCTGGTTCAGTCCTGGTTTCAGTCCTGGTTCAGTAGTCCTGGTTCCTAGTTCCTAGTTTAGTCCTGGTTCAGTCCTGGTTTAGTCCTGGTTTAGTCCTGGTTCAGTCCTGGTTTAGTCCTTAGTTCAGTCCTGGTTCAGTCCTGGTTCAGTCTGTTCAGTTCCTGGTTTAGTCCTGGTTTAGTCCTGGTTTCCTAGTCCTGGTTCAGTAGTCCTGGTTTAGTCCTGGTTTAGTCCTGGTTCAGTCCTGGTTTAGTCCTGGTTCAGTCCTAGTTCAGTCCTGGTTCAGTCTTAGTTCAGTCCTGGTTCAGTCCTGGTTCAGTCCTGGTTTAGTCCTGGTTCAGTCCTAGTTTAGTCCTGGTTCAGTCCTGGTTTAGTCCTGGTTAGTCCTGGTTCAGTCCTGGTTTAGTCCTGGTTTAGTCCTGTTTAGTCCTGGTTTAGTCCTGGTTTAGTCCTGGTTTAGTCCTGGTTTAGTCCTGGTTTAGTCCTGGTTTAGTCCTGGTTTAGTCCTGGTTTAGTCCTGGTTTAGTCCTTGGCGTTTAAAAACACAGTGTAAAAAACACAACTCCAGGTCTGTTTTTTTAGATCAAAAAACATCGTAATATTGCCCCTTTAAATCTCGTTATGTTTAATAAATTCGCGTCAATCGTGTCACTTTCCAAACACACTTGAACTTGAACTTCTTCTCAATTTCTCGGTCACGTTTTGATTTGAACTCTTGTTATTTTTGCTTCTCGAGTCTCACAGCGGGGGCGCACAGTGTCCCTTTAAAACCTGTCACATCCGGGCCCCCCGAAAACACCAACCCGCCCGTTTAATCCGACGTGTCACCCATTCTCCGCCGGCGCCCGTGGGTCCCTGCCGGTCCGTCTCCGCGCTCTGGAAACCTGCCCGGGCTCCCGTGGGGTTTCTCCTCGGACCCGTCTCTGTTCACGAGCGAAACTGACAGATCGTAGCCCGGTGATATTCCCCAAACAAAAGCCGAGCGCCGGATCAGAGCTCAGACCTCCTCCGTCGGGCTCAGTGCGGCTGTAATGGGTTTAACAGGAGTGCGAACGTTTGGCTCTCGAACGCTCCGTTTAATCTCCCTGATCTTTTACCTCGTTTTAGCTGCTCGGAAAAGAAGTTCTGGGTGCGAATAACAACAAACCACAGCTGTTTCTGTCTCAATTGTTTAAAGATGCACAGTGAAACTTTTCTGGAGGGGATTTTGTTTTACAGGCAGGTAGTAATTACACAGGACTAAACCAGGTCTAAACTAGGTCTAAACCAGGACTAAACCAGGACTAAACCAGGTCTAAACCAGGTCTAAACCAGTCTAAACCAGGACTAAACCAGGTCTAAACCAGGTCTAAACCAGGTCTAAACCATGACTAAACCAGGTCTAAACCAGAACTAAACCAGGTCTAAACCAGGACTAAACCAGGTCTAAACCAGGTCTAAACTAGGTCTAAACCAGGTCTAAACCATGACTAAACCAGGTCTAAACCAGAACTAAACCAGGTCTAAACCAGGACTAAACCAGGTCTAAACCAGGTCTAAACTAGGTCTAAACCAGGTCTAAACCATGACTAAACCAGGTCTAAACCAGGTCTAAACCAGGTCTAAACTAGGTCTAAACCAGGTCTAAACCAGGTCTAAACCAGGACTAAACCAGGTCTAAACCAGGTCTAAACTAGGTCTAAACCAGGACTAAACCAGGTCTAAACCAGGTCTAAACTAAACCAGGTCTAAACCAGGTCTAAACAAGGTCTAAACCAGGACTAAACCAGGTCTAAACCAGGACTAAACCAGGTCTAAACCAGGTCTAAACCAGGTCTAAACCAGGTCTAAACAAGGACTAAACCAGGACTAAACCAGGTCTAAACCAGGTCTAAACCAGGTCTAAACTAGGTCTAAACCAGGACTAAGCCAGGTCTAAACCAGGATTAAACCAGGTCTAAACCAGGTCTAAACCAGGAATAAACCAGGGCTAAACCAGATCTAAACCAGGATTAAACCAGAATTAAACTGGGTCTAAACCAGGTCTAAACCAGGTCTAAACCAGGTCTAAACCAGGTCTATTAAACCAGAATTAAACTGGGTCTAAACCAGGTCTAAACCAGGTCTAAACCAGGTCTAAACTAGGTCTAAACTAGGTCTAAACCATGACTAAACCAGGTCTAAACCAGGTCTAAACCAGAACTAAACCAGGTCTAAACCAGGACTAAACCAGGTCTAAATTAGGTCTAAACTAGGTCTAAACCAGGTCTAAACCAGGATTAAACCAGGTCTAAACCAGAACTAAACCAGGTCTAAACCAGGACTAAACCAGGTCTAAATCAGGTCTAAACCAGGACTAAACCAGGACTAAACGAGGACTAAACAAGGTCTAAACCAGGACTAAACTGGGTCTACACTGGGTCTAAACCAGAACTAAACCAGGTCTAACAGGACTAAACCAGAACTAAACAAGGTGTAAACCAGGACTAATCTTGGCTTTAAGAGAGAGAGAACCCCGAGCCCTGGAGCGTGGAGTCTGTAAAGCGCGATCGGGCGACGGCTGATCTTATGGAGAGAGTGGAGCTCTGCACAATAAACATGCATGCATCCATGGAGATAGATAAGTTTAATGCCGTACTGTGAAACATTCCAGGCTGTACGGGTAAGTACATGTGCATAGAGAATAGCATATAATGTAGAAATGTTCCGCAGTGCACCTTTAAACCCTCCACCAGAAAGGCCTTTATAGTTCACTTTTAAAAACAAAGAAAGGAAGATTTGTTTGTTTAACGCCATAATGTAGAACATTTTAAACAAAAGAATACGGAGAAAAGCAGTTTGACAGACCTTCAGCTGAAAAGTTACACAGTGCAGCTTTAACTGACTTGGCTCTGACGGGTTGTAGCTACTTTCACTTTGTGTCCGAACGTGGCCAGACTGTTAAACATTTATTGCGTGCGAGAGGAAAACAAAAGCTTTCTTAGACAAACAAACGTCAGCTCTGTCAGAAGTCAAAGCTCTCAGTCAGAGCAGCTCCCTCATCAGGAGACAAAACACAACAGACACAACCCCGGGGTCTGACACAACTGGTCCTCTCCTCTGCCCCGTGCCCCTCCTGTGGTCCTCTGCCCCCCACCGTCATGTTATCTGCCCCCCACAGTCCAGAGCAGGGGTCAGGGGCAGGAGCAGAGGGGCGGGGGGGTGAGGGAGAGAGTGGAGGAGCAGCTGTTCACTCCAGATGTGACAAGTGGAGGATTTCACAAGGGACAGTCCAGATTACTCAGAGTATACAGAAACGTTAAAAATAAAATAAATAAAAGGCAAGACAAGTTTATTTGTAAAATTCATAAACAAAGAATTCAAAGACAGATAGATTTATAAAAACATAAATAATCATGATAAAATAAAAAAGAGAGACATAAATTGATAAATGAAAACCTTTCATTATATGATAAACAGAATGTTTTGAGCCTGGAAATAAGAAGAACATGTTCAGGAAGATGTTCCAAGCTGCATGAACCTAACGCTGACTCCTCTTGTTAAAATAAATAAAATGAGATAGATTTATAAAAACATTGATATAAATGTGCCAAAATAACTGTAAAATAGAGAAAAATGTCAAAAATTACAGAGATGGTCTCGATTTGGTCTCGATGAGCCGAGGTGTTGATCTTGTCTCTGCCTCGACCTTCAACAGTCTTGGTCTTGTCCTGGTTTCTGGACCCCGTGGTCTCGGACAGGTCTTGGTCTCGATTAGTGCGCTCCCGACTACAACACTCACTCAAAGTTCTCCATTTAAAGTAAAAACTTTTGCAGATTAATTTATTTAAGAAAGCATCATTTTATATTTGAACTGAGAACACATCCAGATTACCATAAGGAAGCATCTGCCAGTAAGAAACAGTTTCGTCCAATCAGAGACGTCGTTGGATGAGAACAATTTGGAAACAATCCCAGGCATTTGTTTCTGTCGTGACTCAACATCAGAGAAATAGTTGATGCAATTTCTAGTAAACAAAACTTAGCCTGACTTCCTTTATTTTTCCAGAAACACTAACAAGATCCAACTTTTTTGTAAATAAATCTTGTCACAATAGAAAAACATGCCACTTTCTGTGTACAGCCCTAAGTATTAAAACAGTTCCTTTTTTTGTAGACCTCCACAGAGTGAATAATGGGCTTTTGTTCCTGCTGTTCACATGTGGGACACGTTAGACTCATGATGGTTTTAACAGAACCTCATCAGAGAACCATCCATGGCACAAGACTACGGCAAATCTGGATTACGGGATTATTTAAAGGTGCAATGTGTAACTTTTTTGGCTGGAGATGTCATCACCCTGCCTGGAATGTTCCACAGTGTGACATTAAACAGCAGATTTTACAGTTTCAATGGTTTAGACCTGGTTTAGTCCTGGTTTAGACCTAGTTTAGTCCTGGTTTAGACCTGGTTTGGCATGGATTTAGTCCTAGTTTAGACCTGGGTTAGACATGGTTTAGACCTATCTTAGTCCTGGTTTAGACCTGGTTTAGTCCTGATTTAGACCTGATTTAGTCCTGGTTTAGTCCTGGTTATATCTTGTTTTAGTGCTGGTTTAGTCCTGGTCTAATTTGGTTTAGACCTGGTTTAGTCCTGATTTAGACCTGGTTTAGTCCTGGTTTAGTCCTGGTTATATCTTGTTTTAGTGCTGGTTTAGTCCTAATTTAGTCCTGGTTTAGACTTGGTTTAGTCCTGATTTAGACCTGGTTTTGTCCTGGTTTGGTCCTGGTTTAGTCCCGATTAAATCCTGGTTTAAACCTGGTTTAGTCTTGGTTCAGTCCTGGTTTAGACCTGGTTCAGTTCTGGTTTAGTCCTGGTTTAGTCCTGGTTTAGACCTGTTTTATTAAGTCCTGGTTTAGTCCTGGTTTAGTCTGGCTTTAGTCCTGGTTTAGTCCTGGTTTAATAATAGTTTAGTCCTGGTTTAGACCTGGTTTAGTCCTGGTTTAGTCCTGGTTTGGACCTGGTTTAGTCCTGGTCTAGTCTTGGTTTAGTCCTGGTTTAGTCCTAGTCTAGTCCTGGTTTAGTCCTGGTTTAGACCTGGTTTAGTCCTGGTTTAGTCCTGGTTTGGACCTGGTTTAGTCCTGGTCTAGTCTTGGTTTAGTCCTGGTTTAGTCCTAGTCTAGTCCTGGTTTAGTCCTGGTTTAGTCCTGATTTATTCCTGATTTAATCCTGTTTTAGTCCTGGTTTAGTCTCCAAATATCTCATGGACCCTCCACCAAAAAGTCACAAAATGCACCTTTAAATGTGTTTAAACCATCGCTATAAAAAAAAAAAAACCCAAAAAACTCTTTTATCTCACAGTTTTATTTCCTTGGACAAGTATCACACAAACTGAATATAAAAGGACGCACAGAAAATTTAAAACGTGAAGTGAATCTGAGTGAAGTCTTTCAAACTCGGCCGCGTCCCTTGTGCATCATCACAGTCTTCTGCTCCGTTGATTTTAAGTGAGCGAAAAGATCCACAGTGCAGAAGATTTTCTCTCTGTCTCAAATCGCTCCATTCTCCCAGAACTTAAACTGGAACTGAAACAATCACAACTCCAGATTTGAAAAGAATATTTATTTTCGAGGCCTGTCACAACAAATACCGCACTATTTACTTCTCATTCAGTATATATGAAAGCTGGAACGATACTTTTTAGTACTTTTTGGGGCTTAAAATATATCTTGTTTAAATTTTTTTAGTGAAAGTGTGGAGATTTTTTCATACTTTTGTTTTAAGAATAAACTTTGACCTCTTATATAACTGAGATATATTTGTATTACTATATTTCTGTGTGTTATTTTTACATGTACAGATACTTTCATGCTTTATTATTTATTATTTATTTTATTTCTCTTGCTATTTTGCTTTTTTACAATTTACTATTGCCATTTGTATTTATTTATTATATTATATTGCGACGTGTGAGCTACAGTGTCCTAATAATTTCACTTGTGGATCGATAAAGTTTGAGTCTAAGGCTACGTTCAGACTGCAGCCTGAAGTGACCCAAATCCGATTTTTTTGGCCCCTATGTGACCTGTATCTGATCTTTTAATGTCTGAACGACAGATTTTTTTCAAATGTGACCCAGGCCACTTCGAAATGTGGTCCTAAAACCGATACATATCTGATCTTTTGACATGCGACTTCAGTCTGAACGGCCAAAGTGCATGAATCCGACCTACACGTTATCAACAAGCCACAAATGTCACTATTCTGCGCTGAAGTAGGTGAAAATTGTTAATGAACTCCGTGTCACTGAAGTGAAGCACATCACCACTCACCACTCTTGGATACGTCTCCACATCCACACGTTCCTTTCACCGGACGTCGCTGCCGCTGTCCCACAAAACACCACGGCCAAAAACCTCGTCCTTCTCCTTCTCAATCTCCTCTTTAAACAAGTAAGTTGTTCATGTTCTGGCTCCGGTACGAGAGGAACTTTAAAATCTCCAGGTGCTCAATGCTCGCGTCCATGTTTGGACAACTTCCGTAAACACAGAGCACGCTCGCTGCGGTTGACGTCGTCGTGTCTCCAGTGCACATGCGGGACACTTTTGGGCCATTTAATGTTCACACTGGAGTCACATACAAGTCGCATTTAATTGGAAATGTGAACGACCTCGCAAAAACATCGGATTTCACCAAAAAATCGGAATTGAGCATTAAGCCCTGCAGTCTGAACATAGCCAAAGTGATTCAAAGTGCTTTACAGAATAAGAAACACATTAAAATCACAATATAAACAAATCAAAACATAAATAATCATACAGATTAAAATTAAAAAAGAGAGACATAAATGAGAGAGAAGAGTGTGGAATGAAAATCTTTCAGTCATGCAGCTAAACAAAACAGTTTTGAACCTGAATTTAAACAGCGTCAAAGAAGAGTCTGTCTCACATGTTCAGGAAGACTGTTCCAGGTTTTAGCTGCATGAACCTGAAACTCTGACTCCCCTTGTTTAGTCGTGACTCTGGGCACCAGCAGGAGGCCGGTCCCTGAGCTCCTCAGAGTGTGAGATGGTTCATATGACACTAACATGTCACAGATGGACTTTGGTGCTCGGCCATGGAGAGACTTGTACACAAGCAGAGACACTTTAAAGTCTATTCTCTGAGGCACAGGGGGCAGTGCAGAGACCTGAGCACAGGACTTATGAGCTCGTACTTCCTAGTTCGATTCAGGACCCGATCTGCAGCGTTCTGGATGTTCTGGATGTTCTGGATGTTCTGCAGCGTCTCACAGCTCGTTTGGAGAGACCAGTGAGCAGAACATTAATCACTGTAAAGAACTTTGTGTTAAATTTTTGTATGAAAAATGCTTTATAAATAAAGTTTGATTTTAATGATGCTGTCTGTTTAAAAATATATATATTTATTGGGATTATCTTGTATTATTGGTATTGTTTTATAGCAAATGTCATGTATTACAGTCTGTTTGCATTCATATGTTAACAATTTACCCAATAATGGCCAAAATAGTCAATGATTATTTTGGAGTCTGGTTACAATATCTTTATAAAAAATGCACATGCGAAACAAATCAAGACAACAAAGTGAGAATACACGCTAGATGAAAAGTTGTTGAAATGTTATTTACACAGACCACTGCAGTGAAACTTTAATTTTTTATTTTTTTTTGTCGGAAAGCTAGAACAAATCAAGCAAGTATGAAGGCTGTTGTGTTACCAGCATAAATTATACAAATAAATGAAGACTGAGCATTTAAAAGAGGAGTTTAAATGTCCCATATAAAATAATAACGACTCACCAGGGACTAGTATTTATACACTTAGCTTGATTTCTAATTCATTTAAATGTTTATAATCAGCAGCTGTATTTTGGAGCATCAGACCCTTACAGTGAGTACATTTTGAAGCACTAGCCTATATATTACAGATATACTGCGATAAATGACAATATTAAAACTTTTATATGCCAGTGACACAGGTTTTATCATAAAGACTGAATTGTTATTAAATCAAAATTATATGTATTTTAGAATTTTTTATAGAATTTATTTAATAGAATTTATTGCCGATTAGTCAACTACTAAACTACTACTAAATAAAAGATTGTAAACTGAATCAGGTATCCTGTATATATATATATATATATATATAAGGTGTAGACTGTGCAAAGAGGCTCCTGAGACAGTCCAGCACATAACTGCAGGGTGTAAGATGCTGGCAGGGAAAGCAAACATGGAGCGACATAACCAAGTGTGGGGCAGAGTGTACAGAAACATCTGTGCAGAGTACGGGCTGGAAACCCCAGGATCAAGGTGGGAAACACCTCCAAAGTTTGTGGAGAACAACCGAGCCAAGATCCTGTGGGACTTCCAGATACAGACTGACAGGAATGGTGATGGCGAACCAACCAGACATAGTGGTGGTGGATAAGAAACAGAGCAGAGCCGTGGTGGTTGACATCGCAATACCAAGCGATGGTGATATCAGGAAAAAGGAACACGAGAAGCTAGAGAAATACCAGGGGCTCAAGGAGGAGCTGGAGAGAGCCTGGAAAGTAAAGTTTTTTTTTTCTTGTCTTCACAAACTTGATGTCCATCAATTGTTTTAGCTTTTTTGTTAGGAAAAAGATTATCTCACAACTAATTCTTCCCATTTTAGAATACTGTGACATTATTTATCAAAATACTACAACTTCTATCCTCCAACCACTCAGTGTTTTCTAGAACTGTCTGTGCAGGTTCATTCTCCGTTGTCCCTTCAGAACTGACCACTGTGTGATGAACCACCAGCTGTCCTGATCACTCTGTCCTCCCGACGTCACCTTCACTGGTTATTAAATAGTTTTTAATTCCATTCAGATCTTCTAACAGTTTACGTCATGCTGATCAGATATTTTTTGTTGTCCCAAGAGTCAAAAAAACAAATAGGAAAACACTCATTTAAATATAAAGCTCCTTCTGACTGGAACGAACTTCCTTCATCGATTCTTGCATTAACTTCAGTCCCTTCATTTAAAAATGCTCTGGTTCAGTATTTACAGAACTCATGTAATTGTTCTTCATCATTTTGTTGAATTTTTGTTCATCTTGTTGTGATTATCTTTGAACTGTTTCTTTCTTTTTTTTTTTTTTTTCCTCAAATTTGTTTTATTATATGTCAAACAGTCAAGTGTGAGCGAGTGTGTGTGAGTGTGTGTTTGTGGTTGTGTTGATTTTATTGTTTTGTTCCTTTTTTTTTAAATTTATGTCTCCTACTGTCTGCCCTACTGTATCTGTCTTTTGTTGTTGTATTTATGAGGACTCCCTTAAAAACGAGACGGCGAGACATCTCCAGGGGCTTATCCTCCAAATAAATTAATTCAAAACTGATATTTTATGAACTGTGTTGGGAAGGTGACTTTTAAAATGTAATCCCCTACAGATTACAGATTACATACACCAAAATGTACTTTGTAACATAATCCATTAAATTACTTAAAGTGAGTAATGTAATCTGAATACTTTGGATTACTTGATATTGTCGTGCTTTTTAAAACTACATGAAAGTACCAACCACATCCTGAAAATTCTCGTTGGTTCTCTTCAAATTGTCTGTTGAGCCCAAGTCTCACGGAAGAGGCTTTTGTTTGCTGTAGAGGAGCAAAGACGAAAATGTTTTAACATGAAACATTTTGTCTGCTTCTATTAACAGAGAAATGATTTCTATATGAGATCACTGCTGCCTTAAATTATGTCCACCTACTGTTAGGTGTCATATTGTTTAGACCTGGTTTAGTCCTGGTTTTAGACCCGGTTTTAGTCCTAGTTTAGATCTGGTTTTAGTCCTAATTTATTTCTGGTTTAGTCCTGGTTTAGTCCTAGTTTAGTCCTGATTTTAGTCCTAGTTTAGTCCTGGTTTAGTCCTGATTTTAGTCCAGTTTAGTTCTGGTTTAGTCCTGGTTTAGTCCTAGTTTTAGTCCTGGTTTAGTCCTGATATTAGTCCTGGTTTAGTCCTAGTTTTAGTCCTGGTTTAGTCCTGATATTAGTCCTGGTTTAGTCCTGAATTAGTCCTAGTTTAGTCCTGGTTTAGTCCTGATATTAGTCCTGGTTTAGTCCTGGTTTTAGTCCTAGTTTAGTCCTGGTTTAGTCCTAGTTTAGTCCTGATTTTAGTCCTAGTTTAGTTCTTGGTTTAGTCCTGATTTTAGTCCAGTTTAGTTCTGGTTTAGTCCTGGTTTTAGTCCTAGTTTAGTCGTAGTTTAGTTCTGGTTTAGTCCTGGTTTAGTCCTAGTTTTAATCCTGGTTTAGTCCTGATATTAGTCCTGGTTTAGTCCTGAATTAGTCCTAGATTAGTCCTGGTTTAGTCCTGATATTAGTCCTGGTTTAGTCCTGGTTTTAGTCCTAGTTTAGTCCTGGTTTAGTCCTAGTTTTAGTCATGGCTTAGTCCTGGATTAGTCCTGGTTTAGTCCTGGTTTTAGTCCTGGTTTAGCCCAAAATGTGAAAACCGGAAAATACCACCATGTAATACATTTATTTCAACTAAAGTAACTGTAATCCAATTACCACTCACTGAAACAGTAACTGTAACTGAATACAGTTACTCATAATTTGTACTCTGATTACGTTACTCCGGTACTTGTAATCTGTTACTCCCCAACACTATACACGCTTTAAAAATACATTGCACTGATTAGCTGCAGTTCCAGAGTTCGTCCTGCAGGTGTCGCTGTTAGTGAGCCGGTTCTCTCAGTGGGCGTGTCCTGCTCAGAGTGGGCGTGTCCTTTGAGAGCGAGGGGGGGCGGGGCCTTCACGTGGGCTCCTCTCCCCGTGTGAATCAGTCTAATCTGAGACCTGACCGGGAATGAACCACTACCGGCGTCTAACCGGGGAATACTGACAGAAAATGCACTTTAACGGGAATAAAACAAGACTCAACTGCGCCAGAAACTATGGTAGGAGCAAATTCAACTTTATTTGGGGAAAGTTTAATTGCAGATTGGGTAGTTTTGTGTGCAGCTCGCAGCACATGTGTTCGAGGAGCAGGTTTGTTGTGGTGGGGGGAGGGTTTGTCAAATGGTGTTAAATTGCTCCAAAAGGTGTGATCCTGAAATAGTTTTAAAGTCAGTTAAAATGTCTTTCTTTTACAAATCTAATCTTTTAATAACGTTAGCGTGCAAGTTAACGTTAAATTTTAATACTTAATCATTTGACCGGATTTTTTTTTTTTATAAAGCGCTATGATTTTTTTTTTATTTTTTTTTTTTTGTAACGAATAAGTTTAAAACACGTTTTCTCCAAATTTTGGTTCTGACTGTTGTGAAAAAAAAAAAAAAAAAAAATCTTACGTCAAAACTTTATGAACGTACTTATCGCTACTAAGCATGCTTATTTTAGCTAGCTTTTCTAACGCTAATGTTGCAAAAGTAGATTTATTTAGGCTAATAATATTATTTGTTGCTATATATGTTATTTTATTTAGATGCATGCTGTTTTATTGAGATAAATTAAGCTTTCATGGGCTTGTAATCTGATAATTTTAGAGATCAAACCTTACTATGTTTATTTTTGTCATGTTTTCTGTCCCTTCTTTTTAATATAACTATAGAAATTTAAATCTTTTTTGTGGTTAATTGTACAAAAAAATGTTGTTATAGTTGATTTAAAAGTCAAGAAAATACAAGCCATAAATAGTCGTCGGTTTAGGTCTTCAGAAAGTTACTAAAACTGCTGGCAACATTGCATTTTTTATTTATTATTTATTATTTTTATTTGTATGTGTGCTAAATTATGTTGTAAGAAAATGTAATAGTCATGGGAAAATAAGATGCAACTCAAATGACTAGATTATTAGTCATTTAAAAGTAAAAGATAATTTCAACAAGCTCTGACACGTTAACGCACATTTACAGTTTTATTTTAATCAGCAAATATTGTGCAATTTACCTGTTTAGAATGATATCATAGTTTGCACGTGTGATGTGATTAAATTTAGATTAAGAACGCACTGAGGTGGTGATTAGAAAGTATGTTTAAAATAAGTTAAAATGTGACTGTGACTGTTGTAATGAGGAAAGAGCTGTTTGCTGATTTTAATGTTGAGATTAGATAAAGCGAAGTTTTATCTAATGTAGTTTTTCTGTTTATTTGGATGAGATTTTAAGTTGTTTAGATGCTTTTAACAACATATTTTTTAAAGTTTTGATCGTACTCCCTCGTAAAAATGTATGAAACAAATGCAAATGATGGATTTTGTTTGTAATTGATGAAATTGTTTTAAGATGCGTTCACTTATTAATCAATATTGGGACTAAACTGCCAGGACTAGACCAGGACTGACCAGGACTGGACTAGACCTGCACTAGACCAAGGCCAAACCAGGATTAAACCAGGACCATACCAGGATTAGTCTGGGATTAGGCCACGACTAGGCCAGGACTAGACCTGGAACAAACTAGGACTTAACTAGGACTAAATACTGCTCAACCAGGACTAAATCGGGACTAAACTAGGACTAAACACTGCTGAAACCAGGACTAAACCAGGATCATACCAGGATTAGTCCGGTACCAGGCCACGACTAGGCCAGGACTAGACCAGAACCAAACCAAAATGAAATTAGGACTTAACCAGGACTAAATACTGCTCAACCAGGACTAAATCAGGACTAAACCAGGACCAGTCCACACTAGGACTAAACCAAGACCAAACTAGCACTAAACCAGGACTAAACCAGGACTAAACCAGGACCAAATCAGGACCAAATCAGGACCAAACCAGGACCAAATCAGGACCAAAACCAGGACCAAACTAGGACTAAACTAGGACCAAACTAAGACTAAACCAGGACCAACCAAGGACCAAACTAGGACTAAACCAGGACCAAACCAGGATTAAACCAGGACTAAACCATGACCAAAATTGGACCAAACCAGGACTAAACCAGGACTAAACTAAACCAGAACTAAACCAGAACTAAACTAGGACTTAACCAGGACTAAACACTGCTCAACCAGGTCTAAATCTGAACCAAACCAGGACCAAACCAAGATTAAACCAGCACTAACCCATGACTATACCAGGATTAACCAAACCAGGACTAAACCAGGACCAAACCAGGACTAAACCAGTACCAAACTCGGACTAAATCAGCACTAAACCAGGATTAAACCAAACCAGGACCAACTAGGATTAAACTAGGACCAAACTAAGACTAAACCTGGACCAACCAAGGACCAAACCAGAACTAAACCAGAACTAAACCAGGACTAAACCAGGACCAAACCAGAACTAAACCAGGACCAAACCAGAACTAAACAAGAACTGAACCAGGACTAAACCAGGACCAACCAATGACCAACCAAGGACCTAACCAGGACTAAGCCAGGATCCAACCAGGACTAAATCAGTACCAAACTAGGACTAAACCAGGACTAAACCAACACTAACCCAGGACTAAACCAGCATTAAACTAGAACTAAACCAGGACTAAACCAAACCAGGACCAAACCAGGACCAAACCAAGCCTACACCAGGACTAAACTGTGCTCAAACTGTAAGTGTAATAAAATGAACGCACCCTTTGGCCCGAATCTAACCTGACTTGTGACTGCAGGTTTCTGGTTCACCTGTAGGCTATAGCTTTTTATTTTCATACTCCACTGCACCATTTTGCAAAGCAGCACTTCAAGATATTTTTACAAGACTGTCAAAAAAATCCAAAGTGTTTGAAAAATGTGGTCTGAAAAGAAAAGCAGTTTTAGATTTATGCCTGAATGAGCGGGTTTAGGCCTCATAAAAGATGATGACTCAGTGTGTTTTGGATTTTGGGCTTCGTGGTCGGGTTCCAGTTTAGAGCCTGTCAAACCAGGCGTCTATCACACTGCAGCTACATGTACCGTTCTCCTGTTTTTCTTTGGTTTCAAACTGTGGTAGAAGTGCAAGAGTTTTGAAAAATATATGCAATTTTTCCTGACAATTGATTTAATGTTTGATTTGCAATTTATGTTTAGGTAGCAGGATTCTAATTTGGATTTCTTGTGCTGATGGAAAATGCACAAATACAACAGTAGATGCTCGTTCTGTGTATTTTGACGGAGATATGCACCTGCAGTCACGTGGAGCATCAAAATATGCTCCATACTCTTGCGTGGACAGTGTGGCCGTACTCATTAATTGATTGATTCATTCATTTTTATTTCGAGTTTGTGCCGAGAGAGAAACAATACTGTATTTTTCGGACTATAAGTCGCTCCGGAGTATAAGTCACACGAGACAAAAATTTGTAATGAAGAAGAAAAAAACATATATAAGTCGCACTTTTAGGGGGGAAATTTATTTTATGAAATCAGAGACCAGGAACCGACATTTCAGCTTGAAAGGCAAATTGTAGTGAAAACAATAGAACAGAGAACAACAGACTGTTGACGTCACATATGAACAGTTCTTCAGATAAACTATAACATAAACAACAGAACAGAACAAGTTTACCAAACTCTCCATCTCACTCCAAATCACTAAATCTATTGGTGTCACTTCTGAGCAATTCCACGACCTCCGGAGGTAAACGGAGCGCCGCTTTCTCTTTCTGCGTAGCTGTTGTCAAACTCAGCATCAGTTCCAGTTAGAATTATTCCTGCCTTTCTAAATCCCGACAGAATGGTTTTGGTTCAGGCTTTGTCGATCCATCCAGTGACTTCCAGGAAAGTTTCATGGTGCATCCTCCTGGTTACCGTGAAGCTGTGTTCTCCATCCCCGCTTTCCGCCAGTCCCTCACAAGTTTCTCACTCACTCCAAACTATCTTTCTGCTGCTCGATTACCGTTTTTGGCTGAATATTTCACTATTTGCAGTAGGACAGCGTTTCTCTCTGCAGGAGACGTGCAGTCGGCAGTCGAGTGAAGTGACAGTGGTACAGGCATAATAGGAGCAGCAGATACTGACACACAAGACTAGAGCCTCTCGTGACTGTCAGTGTGAAAATTTTAATATATAAGTCGCACCGGAGTATAAAAACACCCAAACCGTGAAAAAAAAGTCTGACTTATAGTCCGAAAAATACAGTAATTGTGCATACACAACAGAAAAGCACTTTTCTCAAAAAGAAATGGGATGAAGAAAAACTTATATTAACCCACGCTTATTCATAACATAGTTTCAAAAGTTATGTGTTTGTTTATGTACATTCACTTTTAATGCATTCTAACAAATATGTGCCCAAAACGTGCAGATTTTACGCTTGTGTAGGGCAAAATACGTGTGCAGTGTTGGTTGAAACGTCACAACAGTGGAACAAGCCAAGAAATCAGACTTTTGTTACTTACATTTAAGCACATACCCGTCCACAAATGCACAAAGCCCTTACCTTGTGCACGTTTTTCACAACCAAAATGGTCCCCATTTATACAGTATAGGCAAAAGTTGTTTTTTTTGGTTCGTTTGTTTTGATTCGTTTGTTTTGATTCGTTCTGCGTTTGCTTTCGCTCAGACCACAGTGCTGCTCTGTGATTGGTCAGTTTCGTTTGGGACTTACAGTATAACATGTAAACGATTCAGCCAGAGTTTATGAACTCACAAATGTCGCAAGGATTCGTCTTCCTGCAAGGCTAGGATTCTGTTCAAACTTTAAATTTTGAAGACAACCAGGAGTAAAAGCTGCAATCTGAAACTACAACATCAGCCATTTTTTGCACAATAGATAAAGATATTTTTTTATTTGCATTGGAAAGGATGTTACTTAAATAATTGTCGTCTTTGCGATTTGCTTTTCTATCTGTATAATTCAGTTGGTTTCATGCGTTTTCCTTTCTCAAAATGAATAAAGCTGTTGAATTTTACAATATAAAAAAGTTGGTTATCATAGAAAAAGTATTAATTATCATCTTAAATTCTGTCTTTGTTAGGTTTGGACATTTAAACAATCCAATATACAGTCTATTGCATCAAGGTCCACTAAC